TATCTCTGAACCTGAACGCGTCTTTCTCGCAACGATTTCTCGCAATCTCTCTATCTTCCTTTCAAGTTGATTAAATTGGAAATGATGGTGCAATTAACAGTTCTATTGGTATAGCTAAATTCTCTATAAACGGAGCTATACCGAATTGAACGGATACAATATTCTTCCTGCTTAAGAAGTGCAATTCACAGCTGAAGGATGCGCTGGAGGTGAAAGGCACGACGAGGCCGACTACCAATTAAATCGTACCTTCAAGAGGACCGCCGAGAGACTACGAATAACTCGCGTGCGGCTTGTCTAAGGCGGATTTCTCGACGCGGCTCTATGAGCTTACGAAGTAGCCGCATGGTTTTTGCGGCGCCCGTAGTTTTATGAGGCTAATTTATTAGCCGCCCGGACATGGAACATCACGGAACCGTTCCTCGGGCGGTTCTATCTTACGCGCGAGCGCGCGCGCTCCCCGGGAAGCGCAAGAAACCGCTCAATCTTCGTTCCAATCTTCCTAAAGTACAAGTGCTTCGATCCCTGAGATTTCTCCGTGTCGCTTTCTTGCTGAGGAAAGCCGAATACAACAGCATCGTCAATATCTTCAAGGCGGAACATCCAATGTCACAAAATATGATCATAAATTATTGTATACACTTTTTTTCATTCTTGAGAAATGTATATCTTTATGTCATTTTAATTTCTAAACATATCTGCAGTTGTCATCGCAAGTCAATGAAATTATATTACTCATACAATTGTATTATTTGTATTATCTTTATCATCGCATTGTTGGAAATGTCTTGAGTCGACGATACAACATTCTAAACCTTTTATTCTATAATTAAGCGTGAATTGTAAGTAATTGCAATTGTAAGAATTGATCAATCACAATAGTTTCTTCGTATTCGACTGTGATTGGTCAATTTTTACAACTACACTTACTCAATTCGTAAAATCGGCTTAAAGATCAAATAGAGATAAAATCAAATAGAGATTCGCTTTTAAGTCATAACGCGAAGCGCATATAAAATTAATACAAAGCGTAGAATGCGATTTACGGAAACAAGTCGAGCAATGTATCTTCCGCTTCCCGAATGCTACCACTGCGTTGTCGTTACTATCTTCGCCGCTACCTTCGCAAAGCGATGACAACCAGCAGAGGCTATCTTATCGGAATCTGCAATCGAAGCGACGCGACGCGTAGCTACGTGTTTTATAGCCCGTTACTGTTTCGTGCGTGCACACATAGGATATGCAGCACTGCCGCCGTTCGCCGGATCTGCTCGGCAATTCGACGATGTGACCAAGGGTATTATTAGAAATTCGTCTCACTTTTTGCACGGATCAATGCCGGAGGCAGCAAACAATTATGCAATCCGTTGCCTTCCTGGGTTATGCAAAAGAGTGTCCACCATGTGTAAGTGGGCATTTCATTACTCTCATAATTATTACGTAAATTACCGAATAATTATGTAGTTTTTAATCGGGATCGTCAACCTGAACGAATGATACACATCTCGATAGCCGAATAAAAAACAAGATAGCATTACTGATTAGCTATTATTTTTTCGTTTTAATTCATTATCTTTTTCTTCGGAAAATTATATCGACATTTCTATGTAATTTTATGTAATTTTTCATAACAAATAACAACCAACTGTCTGAAGAAATAATATGTGTTCTAATATTCAAAGAAAGATATGTATTATATAATATTTTTGCGCATTTAACATTTTATGAAAAGTGTGATAGCTTTAATCATTAAAATTATGTAATTTAATAAAATTATATAATTTAATATAAAATTTGAAAGAAAAAAATAATTAATAATTTACTTATATTATTTAGTAAAAGAATTTATAAAAAGAAAAAAGAAAGAGAAATAGAGAGAACAAATGATAAATGATGAAAGATCAGCCTAAATATCAAAGGGGTTTTATAACAAAAAAATCGACGCAGGAAATTACGAAATAAACAAAACTTGCGTAACCTTTTGAAAATTGTTATGATTTTTATCAAATCAAAATGTGACATTTATGTATTGATTCAATTTTTTACTCACTCGTAAAGTAAAAGTACAGTTTTACTGAATTCTGTAAAAGTTAAAATCTCAATGAAAAGCAAAGGCGAAATTCACGCGGTATGGTATTGCGGCGCAAAGGTACCTACGCTTGAAATACATTCGAAAAATTCGATGTAGAGAAGCGGAAGCACCATGGGAGGTAGCATCATCGCGTTCGAAACGATCGTGAAATCGTGTTGCCGCGCGATAGGATACGCGTGGGCCGGCGTTTCCCGTTTCTGTTGGCGGTGCCGAGCTCATGCATTCGCGAGATTAAGGCAGAAGGAGATCACGGATAACATGGCGGAGATATATATTGGTGATTTACACGAAGGTTGAGAGTCTGGTCCGAACGGTTGTAAGTCGAGGCCCACAGCCTTCAATCATTGTCAATCGGTTCGGACAGAGCACCGTTATAGTGTCTTTGTGCTATCGTCGTTCCATAGGATACACCTATACCATTCTTTGACAACATTCCTACATCGCCACATAGTCCCGTTCTTCGCGAATATTTGCGAGGGCACATCGCTGACATCATTAGTGTCATATTGTGTACACTGTTAAGTTCGCAAAAAAAAAAGATTGTTTTTTGTTGCTTTAAAAAAATTATTACAAATGCTTCCTATAATTAAAATCATTTATAACATTATATTGTATAAGGATATTAACTTCTAATTACAAGTTCGACAATCCTTTGTCATATTAATCCAGCAAATACACATCAAATAATATTATATAGATATATTGTGAGATGTAAGAGATATATATTGTTAGATATAGAAGATATATAGTAGAGATAGAAATATTTCAAGTACGAGATTCTATCGTTTTACAAGACTAGATGATGTTTGTCGTCACTTATAAACATAGATACACTGACGGCGAAAAAGACATGCGACATACAACAGTGTCGCTCGCTAAGATTGCTCTGCTCGTAACCAGAGTCATTGATAAGTAGGATAAGTAAAATCGGAGACTGGGGTACGAGAACGCAAAGGATGTTTGATCCAAGCAAATAGATTTTATGAGTCCGACCGTTCGCGTACGTAACAGTTAACTCGAGCGAAATGGCTCTTCATGGCACGTTTTCTCTCAGCGCAGGACGATAAAGCACAAATGACGAATGAGGAAAAAAGTGATATGGGAGAAGGGAAAAAGACAGCCGAGCGAAATACGAGATATAAATATTCGTGAAGCATATGTGGGTGCTGGACCCCATAGTAAAGATATGTACTAGACCGACAATTCAGATGCGCATCTCAAGCAAGAATCTTCTTGCTTAAGAAGCAACTACCTGCAAGAGCACAGAAAGGTTTTTTGATTTTACTGAAGTACCTAAAAATTTAGCTAGCTTTAGATAATTTGTTGGACTATCAAAATAATATTATCTAGAACGTTCAAACTTATTGCTAAAATATCAAAACTTTTTACAATATTGCCCATCGTGTAATATTGCCCTTAAGATTTCTACGTAATTAGTTTGATGTAACAAAATTATTTCCAAATCTGTATCTTACTAAATTTTTACTAAATTTTGAGATACTTCAGCAAAATCGTTCTCTCTGTGCTCTGCCGTAATGTAATCTAACGATAATTCAATATGATAACATATAATCTAACGATACAATATTTATTGTTCCTCAACTGTGCAAGTAATAAAAGACTAACCAATCGAGCAGTTTGCAGATTTTAAATCTTGTATAATCCACCCTTACTTTCTTATCTCTTGAGCGTTCGCTATAAACTAAACGTTTCGTAGATAAATTTCGTAAATTTGTTTAATATTAAAGAAAGAGACTGTAAGCTATTCATACTTTTCAGCGAAACTATAAAATATTTCAAAATCACATTTTTTTATACATATATTAGAAAAATTTTAGAGGCAATATTCATATGTCACTATCGGAAATTTGTTCGTATTTATTCTTCTGAATACTTCTTGAATTAATTTGGACGTTGTATGCACTAATGGTATTGTTATGCAAATTATCAAATGGCATCGTTCTTGTGACATTATCTTATCGCAATAGAGCGAACCGCACACTTTGAGTAGCAATCCCGTATTAATGACGACGAGTTCAATTAAACTGTCGTAAACGATGGCTGAAACAACTGTCGATGGGCCAACCCTCAAAGCAACATAACGAAGAAACAACCCCATCTTTAATGTCTGTTCTCGTGAATTACTAGCAACCCTTTATATCCACAAGAGAATAAAGGAAATCGAAGCACGTGACCTACACGTGTTTAATTGCGAATTCTGAGGGTACATGATATCTCGAGAGAGCATTCGCGGACGCATCCAACCGATATCTCAAATCTATCAAAGAGGCACACGAGTGCATTAATTAAGACTTCTCGAAAAGGGTTAAGGCAATTAAAAGGTAATCTTTCAAATGATTTAAATTTCACAGCTACACAGTACAAAATCTATTAAACAAATTGATTGAAAATTTCAACAATATATTCTATTTCTTGAATTTAAATAATTATCTACACCATTGGAAAATTTGTGTAAAATTTAACACATTAGCACGTATCTCAAATAATCCATATTCAAATAAATGTGTTGATTTAATTAGAAAAGCATTACAACTAAAAACGTTAATTATAAATGTTACAACTACACATTTGAATAACTTAACTATAATTCAACTAGATAAAATACACTGTAAGCAAAATTGTACGATTGGTAGATCACTTGATGTAATTTTATGACTTTCGATACTCGTGGCATTTTAAAAAGCAAAAAGTAATTGGAATTTTGTAATCATACCCGCGAACAGGGTCCCACATATCTAACCGTACATGGAGAGCATACGCCTGATTACTTTAATTACTTCGCGGAATTACCTATCTGTAAGCAGCTTTCTTTAATTGCACATTTATCGTATCATTTCAGGATAATAATACGCTAATGGCATAATCATCACGTTGTAAAGAAACTTACCGTTTCGGAGGCGACATTCTTGACTTCCGCTAGAAGGACTGCAGCAGGTGAGAGATAAGTCCGGACGAAGTTCTCCAAGTTGCCGTGATAAGCGCAAACTAGGATATCCCGTGCTTGTCTTATCAGTAAATTCATAACACTGTCGCCGTAAATTGGACCGAGCAAATTCCGGACCAGAGAAGCGAAATCCCCACGATTCTGTAACGATAAGCATAAATACAATAAAACAATTCGGTTTTTATATAAAATAATTTTTATATAAAAACTAATTTTCAATTATTGCGCGTTATATAATTAATTTTTGTCCCATGTACAAGACACAGCGAAACATCTATGAAAAGTGACATATATTGTGTGTGAAACAATTATAAAAATATAAAAAATAATAATGAGAAATTTCTTTTAATCAAAAATCTTTCATAAATGCAATGCAAAAATTGTCATGGCTCATTTTGTGGATTACGCAACATTGATCACATGTTTTCAACACATTTCCGGATACCGGAAGCAATCGAGACGGAAAAAATCGATCAGTTTCGCGAATCCATTCACGGAATTACGGTGGCCACACGCAAAATCTGTTACTGACAGTTATCCCCCTCGACATGAGGGTAAACAAGGGGAACGTGATTTGGATTCTGTGACAAAAGCTGGCAGAATCTCTGGCCAGGGGCAGCAACACCCACGGGAGAGAAACGTCAATATTCCTCCCGAGCACATCGCTTAAACCAATATCAGTTTAGAACATTATTCCTGAAGCGCATCTGTGCAAAATCATATCAGCTGCATATAGTGCTTCCATTGATATCCTTAATTTGCCAATGTAAACACAGAAGCATGAAATAAACCAATAGCTTTTAAACATTATCGTGATTCTAGAACGTAGTAATAATTTATTATAAGGGCTGGCAATGTCTGAATGGACGCTTTGATTATACTTTATTTTTAAAAAATTTCTCTCTCTTTCATTTTTTTTTTGAAAAATTATTTTACAGTTTATTTCAAGATTAAATTAATTTTCAAATTAATTATTTTATTAAGTAGAGTAAAAGAGTAAAATCTCTTTCCTTCTATAAATTTCTTGAAAATAGTTATCATCTTCTATAATGGTACTTATCTAATATTATACACATAGCAATACGTTTACATATTTAATTACTTAAATTTCAGTTGTTAAAATTGCAAAACGTTTTCTTAACTTCTACAAGTCTCCTAAATCCCCGATAATTCAATAAAATCAACACAAAATATCGCCTCAACCTAGATCTCCATAAATAGATACACGTTTCCAACAAAATTCCAATTTAAGCGACCAGTTCTCCGCATACCTCCGATAAAAGCAGTCTCTTTTGCGAAACGTTGATATTGCACCATTTGCGTAATCTCTCTGGCATCGCTTTCCCACCGAGATTCGAATACCAACGTGAACAAGTGGCTGTGTCGCCTCCGATGTGGGTGCATTATATCGAGCCGCTTCGAAGTACATAAACATTGAGGTTTAGCAAGGGTATGCGAGAAACAGGGGAAGACCTGCGCGGTGTAACCATTATACGTTTGCCTGATCGCCCACGTATTTCCGCCCTCATAGTACGGATGGTTGACCACAATGCGATCGGCAGAGTGTTGAAAGCACGACTTGTCTTTTCGGAGAAATGCACACCGCCGCCAAGAGTTTCACGTGGGATCTGGGTGATCGAGAGCGAAACCGGATGTGGCAAGTATGTACGAATAGTACAAAAAGTGTGACTATAATATACAGATTACGATTGCGTGCTCTCGAATGAATAATGTTCTTTATTTAAATTCAAGTAGAATTTACTTCGGCAAAATTTTAAATTGCTAAAGCTCATTTATTTAGACAATTAATTTATTAAAAATTAAAAAATTATCAAAAAATGGAGTTTCAAAAAGCATCACTTAAAATTGATTGAACAATCTATAAATGAATAATGGATTTTTTCTGAGATATTTTATAATAATTTATATATTTTTAACATAAAAAATTTATCATAAATATAATAATCTATACAAAATTTAGACATCGTGAAATTTAGATCAAATATTAACAAGAAACTCTTTGAGTGAAAGATGTTTTAAAAACAAAACTTAATGATATACATAATTCATCTAATCTAATAACAAATATTAACAGATATTATACACAATTATTCACGTTGGTGTGTCATAAATTTAAAACATTACTAGCTGGGTTATAATTACTTCAGATTGTCAATAATTCTTGTTCTGTCACGTAGTGCCATCCCACGGGGTGTGCCGATCATAATAACAGACCGACACAAGTCAGTACCAATATTTGACCACCCAAAATTTATGGGAAAGGGTAAGGCGGCATTGTGCATAAAGGACTCGTTAGGGGAGGCGCGCATCTCCCGCAGGGGATTCGTAGGGATGAAAACGGACATACAGTTTGGATCCGCATATAAATTAACCGCGATTCACGTGGCAGTGGTTTTAATCGTCTACCTTATGAGCACACGTTGTTTATTAATGTGTTTACTCGTGTGAATAGGCAAACCGTGATTTACTGTGGCCTATTCACGTGCTCAAGTGCTAATGCGAAGTGGTCTACGAGGGAAGAGTTTAACGTTCTTTTCTGAGAAAAGAGAATTCACAAAACGCGAGAGACTACTACAATAGGACTAAAACTTTATGAAATATCTGCTCCAATGAATCTACAAATTGTTCAAAAATTAAATTATACGTAACAAGACTACATTATAAAAATAATTGTAATTATCAATAAATTGTATTACTTTTGATTAAAAACAAAAAAGTAATAAAATTTATTGATAATTACAATTTTTAATAGAGCTTTTTCGAAAGTTTTGAAAAATGCATTTAGAAAATATAAAATATAAAAAACTTTTTCAAAACATTTATAGATATACGATTTATCAATAGCACGAAAGTGTTAAAAATATACTAGTATTTTTATATACATATTATTGGGTTGTCCGGAAAGTTGTTGGGTTGTTCGTGCTGATTAACCTATATAATTTAATAAATGTATACTAAAATTTAAATCTTCTGCGTTTCAATTTTCCTTCAACATCGGCACGAACTTTCTGGACAATCCAATAGATAATAAAAGTAACTACTTAAAAATATAATTTTAATTATTTTTATTAAAACTTCTATAATTCATTAAAAAATTAATAGATATCCATAATAAATTCGAAAGCAACAAATTCTTTTTATATGCATCCTGTTTCTCATGTAGTATATGTTATCGCATAAACGATGCATGTACTTAATGCAAAAGCATAAGAAAAAAAAGGACCAAAAATTAATGAATTTGATAACTAAGATGCATTTTATTGTACTATGTTGAGCACTGTATGCTCAGAAAATGCAAAGATATTTGTTCCCCATTTTTTTGTATGCACTTGAGCTAACGTGATGAAGACAAAACATTCCATCCGTGAAATTAGAATCATGCTTTTATATTGAGGTAGGGTCTTGATTAGTTCCTTTGTTTAGTAGTCCGCCTTGTACCTTGTATAATAACGCTCATGAGCTCATCGTGGACGATTTGCATTTTGATCGACGGAATCTCATTTCATAGCCGCAAAGCTATATGGAATTTTAGACAAAAAATATTTTTTGACGTAGAGATCGGGGGTAACACGAAGAGAACGAAATAATATCAATGGATTAAGAAAGAATCTTGTGAAATTTCAAAAATATATTAAAGGGATTTTAAAGGGAGAATAGTGAATAAAATAAAAGTAATATAAATAAAAATTACTTGATTAAATTTTCTAAAAATTTATGTCGAATTTAATAAAAACAGAAAATAAAGATTTTTTCTAGAAAATAAAGTTTTTCAAGCTTATATATAATTAAATTCGCACATATATGATTCTTCATATATTCGATATGAAATTCAAAATCATAAAAAGTAATTTTGGAAATATAAAAAATATAACAATAATAAAAAATTGAGATCAAGCTATCAATTTTATATAGATACATATTGTGAAGCGATTCCTGAGAATAATCCTAAAATGAATGGCTAATGCAGTGGATTAAATTTTGACGCAGTTAAGCGTATTTAGTCCGTGACTCCCTAGAATATTGATCAAGTCTCTCAGTTCCCCATTACATTACGCGTGTCGAATTTCAAATTAACCCAGACGCATGTCAAATTCGTCTCATGCACACGCTTACAACGCGTTTACTTGTTTAGTCAGCTTCCGAATTTCCCATCGTTTTGCGTACGCACCCCCTCTTATCTATTACAGAGGATTTATTATTCAAACACACATGCCTTAGATAAAAAGCTATTCAACATTTTCTCATAAAATGTACTATAGGAGATAACATCTATCTATAGTGTCAAATTTAATCTAATTTAAATCGTCATTGCTCCTACTCAATATACTCAATTATTTTATATTAAAACAATGGTTAAATTTGAAACTATAGTGTCAAATTTAACCATTATTTTAGTATAAAATAACGATATAATAAGTAGGCGCACTTAAATTAGGTCTTTGACACTATAAATTTAACAGTGGACATTTAAATATTGTTTGACATTAAAATCTCTTTAGTTAGAATGTAACAAATCGAAAATTGCTATATTCAAACATACTAAATTAATAATTCGCAACGCAAAACTACTGCGTACTTTACGTATCCAAAGATTCAACGAGGATTAAGAAAGTAGTACATGTATGTTACGAAATATTAAGAACCGCCTGGCATGGGGCAACTCTCGACGATATTTTCTCGAGCGTGTCTGTCGACCGCCCATACAGCCAAGCCAAGCCAAGCCAAGCCAAGCCAAGTCAAGCCAAGCCAAGCCATGTATTCCCGCGAGCGCGATACGCACCGCGACGCGACGTTCCGATAATTATCGAAAAATGCGCAAGGGGTCGGCCGTCATTAATTAAATAGCCGTACAAATACGGGGGAAACCTATCGGAAGCGAAACGGCCGCACGCCGTTACACAATACACCAGAAGCAACCGCAATATCCATCAATGCTATGCTCTGTTCGGAGCCACGATAATGCAACGGACCACCGTTGCGAGCCGTTAGAGAGAGATTCGCGAAAGGGAGGCTGAGTCGCGCGAGAGAGACAGAGAAAAAAAGAGAGAAAGAGAAGAAGCCGGGAGAGGTACGCAGCATGGAAACGGGCATTAATCAATTCGCGCACGTGGAAAGCAGCG